AAACACAGGCAATGTTCAAAACCAGGAAGGTATAAAAAAGGCTGAAATGCTAGGGCAAACACAAACTACACAATCCGGCAGGGAATGAGTGAAGATGGGCCAGTATCTACAGGTGTTTCTCAGAAAATAGCATATCATGTAATATCATTTTTTCCCATAATTTAATTCAAAAGTGAAACTTCATATATTCTAGATTCATTACATGTAAAGTGAAATATTCCAGGTCTTTTTTGTTTTAACCTTGATGATTACGGCTTACAGCTCATGGAATCAAAAACCCAGAATGTCAAAATATTAGAATATTAGAATAAATACAGAAATAACAACAAGCACTTGGCTCCTTTTGCATGAATTACTTCATCAGTACGGCCTGGCATGGAGGCAATCAACCTGTGGTGCTGCTGAGGTTTTATCGAAACCCAGGTTGCTTTGATAGCTGCCTTCAGCTCGTCTGTACAGTTGGTCTGATGTCTCTCATTTTCCATAGATTTTCTAAGGGGTTCAGATCAGGTGAGTTGGCTGGCCAGTCTGGTCTCTGGTTCAGGAGTAGCTTGACACTTGGAATGCAACACTTTTATATCTTTTCCTGAACACGTCTGAGCGTAGTGGTACTTGATGCACTGACTCCACCCTCAGTCCAACTCCTTGTGAAGCTCCCCCAATTTCTTGAATCGGCTGTGGCCATCTCTGTTGCTTGTGCACCTTTTCCTATCACACTTTAACTGTCCAGTCAACTTTCCATGAACATGCTTTGATACAGCACTCTGTGAACAGCCAGCCCATTCAGCAATGATCTTCTGTGCCTTAGTCTCCTTGTGTAGGGTATCAATGAGCTTGGACAACTGTCAAGTCAGAAATCTTCCCCATGATTGGTTGTGTGTATTGAACCAGACTGTGAGATTAAAGGTTCTTCTCAGGTCGACATTTCTGCATTATACATTCTTCATTCTAGCATTCAAATTTTTTGAGACAAGGATTTTTGATTTCCATAAGCTGAAAGCCGTAATCATCAAGATTAAAACAAAAAAAAGAAAATTTTCTCTTCAAGTGTAATGAATCTTAAATATATGAGAAAAGGTTCTAGGGACTGAGGCAGTGATTGGTTAAAAGGCATCTTTACCTGTAAGGAAACCCAGTAAAAAAAACACCAGCAGAAACTGTTTCATTTGAAATTATAACATGGTACAATTAAAAGCATATCTCTTTATTCATTTGCCTCTGTCTTACATTCATCAAACATGTTCTCGTCTCACTGATCTTACCTACATGGCTAAAGTCCTGCCCTTCTTTCACATTTTGTTAATGTTAACAATTCCCTGATAAAACCTAACTTTAAGTGCATTCAGAACCTTTTCTTTATAATGTACTCTCTCCTCTTCAGTTTATAACCTCTGACCTTTCTCTCGCAGACTGTCCAGGTTTGGAGAGTCCTCGGGTGGTTCGACATCTGCGTTTCCAGGCCCATCTGCTGCTAGAAGAAGCAACCTGTGAGCAGCGAGGAAGGTTTGGGGAGCTCCTGCTCATGCTACCTCCCCTGCAGAGTGTGGCCTGGCAGATGGTGGAGACTCTCCACTTAGCACAGCTGCTGGGCGAAGCCAAAATGGACAACCTGCTGCAGGAGATGCTGCTGGGTGAGGGAGCCAAAGCAGGACAGGGACAGTGTACAGGTAGGAGGCTGCTACTGTATTTACTTGCAAGGAATTGACTTAAATTATACAGCACGTTAAACTTTGAACCCTACTGAACTTGTACTAGCATTATAATTGAGGCTTTTCCATGTAGCAGTTGTACTTTCACATTGAGCTCTTGCATAGACAGGGTACTATTTTGAATGCTTTCACTCCCAGTATTGCCAGCTCCAGTTTCTCCTCCTCCTTCAGGCCATGGCCTGATTCAAGACCAGCAAAATGAGCAAAGGGCTTCACCTATAAACTTCACCTCCGACATCTCTCACCTTTCAACATGTGAGCACTCACAAATTGACCCTAACAACTGTTTTGAACATGCACCTTGCCATAGAACATCGTATATCTACGTTTTCCACAAGTAAAAACATATGCTTTTATTCCATGTAGTAGTCTTATTATGTCCAACTGTAAACGTTATCTCACTGTTTAGTGAGTCTCACCTGACATTTGTTTTCATGAAATTTAAATTTATTGAAAGACTCTGAACCCCAATGTGCTAAATGCCATTGCTGATGTCTGTCTGTCTCACACAGCTCTTTCAATCGGCTTGCCTGCTGCCCCCACAGACTGGCACTGAGGTGTACAGACATGCCGATGTTGCCAATGTGCCCACGGCATACCAGTCCACATAGAGACACCTCAAGAAGCAACAACTTAACCAAGGAATGGAGGGGTGTTTTGAGCTTGAGACAGAACACAGACTAACATATACACACACAGCCACATACTCTACAAAGACACGGGAGATCAATGGAATTTGAATTTTATTTGAAACAGGACACATGAAATACTGAATTAATAACATTTAGCATGTCACAAGGTACAGTTAAAACAAAAAGTACAATCTGAAAAGCATGTAAAATAAATACATACGTAAATAGGATAACATTGCACTAAGCTATAACTAAGCATAATTCACTCATTCCTATCACATCTCCGATGTGTTTGACTTAAACTTAATCTTGAAGTGAAGGTCCTAGACATTATCAGCAGAGGGCGCACAAATCCTATTCAGAAACAGATTTGTTGGTCCCTGTGAGGCAACCTTTTCTTTGTGATAAAAACATTCAGTCATGTGGTCAAAGATGTGCATCTGAATGCAGAAATGGTTATAATTTAAAGGTCAACTCACTATAGTGAGGATTTAAGTTTAAAAAAATCACAACCATTTTGACTTAAAGAACACTAAGTGGAATACAAGAATACTGGTTGTGGATAGTGTCCCACCTTGATGACCAGAAATTTGCCAAGCATTATGTCACAGTGAGATGATGAAGGATGAGGTGCCTCAGCAGCACAGAAGCTCAGATGAACTGCAATGACTCAGTATAACTTGATGACAAAAGTGTGTTCTGCATAATGAAACCGTTTCTCTTTCTAGGTTCTCTGTTTGTTTTCATATGTTAATTAATGAATACCTACAAAAGAGAAAGAAATCCATCCTTTATTGTCCCCTGATGCCGGTGGCAACCATATCCACAACAGTGGGTATAATCTAAACAACATATTGGTTGTTAATTCTTAAAAAATACTCATGCATCACAGAAATCAGGTTAGCTAAATAGTGACGTGTACTCTTTCCATTTGAAACTGTATAAGGCCTGTTACATTTCGCCTGAACCCAGTAAGTGGAGGAATCTCTGATGTTATAATAAGTTATGTACAATACCATAAAGCTAAGTGGTTCAATGTAATGAGAGAGGGGGGATAAAAGCTGCCTCTTCACAGACAGTGGAAGTCTTCTTCAAAGTTCACATTTAACTGACTGACATATACTGTATATGCTTGGCCTGCACTTATGTCTGCCGCATACAGCGGGTTAGCTCGTGTAGACGGTCCAAATTCCTCTCAACTGAAGAGCGACATACCGCTGTAGCAATGGGACAATGTGGAGGACAGCATGGACAGATCAGGTCAAGATGAGATATGCAGCTGCAGCTATTAAGCATCCATATGAAAGTATTTACAAGGGATGCAAGTTTATCATAAGTAAATGTGAAGAAGTTACCCATATTTTTTACCATATTCATATGATATTTTGCCTCTGTGCCTGTGGCTTTCTCTGGGTGCTCTCGGTTTACTGTTACAATTCAAAGACATACTAATTTAAGTGGATTGGAGAATGAAAATAGCCCAGTCTGCAGGTACATATAAATGTGAGTGGACATTGATTTCTGAATGCACCTGCTGGACACAGACACAGCAGCACGAGGGGTCAGAGAGGGTCCCAAAACCAGTGACTCTGAAATGCCTGTTATTATCTATTTTATTTGGAAGGTTGAAGAACTCACTCAAACGTAGGGATGTCTAGATTACATTTGTTTGCTCCTGATCCTTAATTATTGAGCTTCTGCTGAGTCTGATTCATTTTTATTAACATCCATACAATTAGATTTTTGTACTTAATACAGCTGCACAGTGCATATTTAAGCTACAGTAAGGACTCATCCTTGTCCATGGAGCTCGCTCTACCATGTGAACTAACTGGTGCCTCAAAAACACCACAAAAAAGGAATCATATGACAAATGGACTAATGGACAAATAAACGAGTATGAATTATTAGTCCGCCAAGAGCACTTTCAGAATCAGAGAAACATGTTTTGTACCCGGCAGGTGTTTAAAAAAGGCCATATTTTCCACCACTACAGAGGGAAAGCTATATTTTGACATCGTCAGATAGCAGAGCTGTACACTCCTCAACTTGCTGCAATCAACTGACGTGACCTTCCTGTTCCATGTGCTACATCTGGCCTTTACCATCACTTTCCTGGATGTAAATTCAAAAAAGTTATGATCTTTTTACTTGCTCATCAACAACTCTGTCTGAGATTTAGGTTAAGATGTCTCTGTTGACCTGCATTCACCATTAGCATCCTCCCTAGGCAAAATCTCTGTTTCATCATGTTGGAGAAAACTTGGATGCAAAACATGCATATGCATAATGGACATTCTATAAACAAATGTATGCTCCTTGAAATCTTTCTCTTTCACCTGGCAAAAATAACACAGTATAATATGACATTCCAAGCCAAGCCAGGGCTCCTTTGAAAAAAAGTTTATCATTTTAATAGGTATAGCTCACTGAATACAGTCTAAATACTGTATAACACAGGTCAAACCTTCAGTGTCAGACTGATGCTGTCAATGTAGTCATTTTGAAGGCAGGTTAGGGACTGTGGTGCTCAATCATCTCTACCTTGGGTTGTTCATTTTGGGTAAAAGTTTAGTTTAGAACAAGTCACTTTAAGTTAAGTAACTTATGAAAGAATCTATTGCTTTTTAGCTTACTAAACGTTGCTCAGATCATAGAACAGGATGTGCACACTCACCCACCGTTCATTCTCAAATCCACACAAACCATTAACAGGTTTTAAAAAGAAACATGAGTAAGTTTGACAATGGGTTCCCTCATCATTCTCAGGTTTCGCTGTTTGTTGCTGTTAAAAGGTTTAACAGTGACGCTGCTGTAATGTTGATTCCTTTCCCAGAGGCCTGCTGCACTGGGAGTCTATTGATCTGTCAAGCTCAGCAGGTCGGTGTTAAAAGCTGAACGCTCTCTCTCAGCTGTCAATGTCATATTCTCCACATCCTGAGTAGAATGAGTCCAGAGGCAGGCGATACATCTGTATTGGCATTGTTCTTTTACACAACAATATGCTCTTCATGTTATTTCCTCATTCTGCTTCACAAGCCAGCTGACTGTTTTAAGTGTTTGAACCAGGAGATTGCCAAACATCAAGTGTAAATATTATGCAATCACTGGCCACAGACCTGCTTGATTCTCTCTAGGCTACTGAAGGGCATACAGGGCTTAGCTATGCCACAGTATTATTTGATTATGGTAGTTTGAAAAGGCAGAGGGGAAAGAGTGGGGAAACACTGATATCATCAAATCAGAGGTTGTTAAAATCTAATTTGCATGTGTCCAAGTTTTGAAATCTTGGTCAATGTTATGACCCTGGGGTCATATTTTGTTGTTTGTTTATCTCTCCCTGCACTGTCAGCTGTTCTCCTCCCTTAGAGTGTGTGCAGTGAGTGTATGCAGGTACTGGAGAACAGGTGGACACACTGGATTGGTCCGGTAGAGCTGATTGGAGCCTCCTGATTGGGCACCTGGATGACAGCAGCCATCTTAAGCCCCACTGACAGGAACTCTTCCCCCTCTCTGCCATTCCCAAACTGCCTGAGTACTGTGTGTTATGTCTGTGTTCATTGTACGTAGTGAACTGTTGTGAGTATATTAGACTTAGATTGTAAGTAGTTTACCTTAGTAATTCTGATTGTCTTATGAAAACCTGGTTTTGTTGGCTTTACCATTTCTGTTTGCTTTGAAGCAATTTTCTTTGTCGTAGCTATATTGTGTCAGCTACTAGCAGTGAGTAGGAGTGAGAAGCACTTTTTTGTTTGCACTGTTTTCTCCTGTTTTTGGACTTAGAAGCCTAGTTTAGAGTTTTGTGTTTTCTTTACCAAGTTTTAGGTTTTCTTAGACTGCTTTGGTTGTTGTTGTTTTGGGCACTACTCATCTCTCTCACATTAAACAAGTGAATGGTAAATTGGATAGATTACTTGAACCATATTTCAACAACCATATTTATAAACATACTGTGAATAGAATAAATGAATAGTGTGGTCACTCATATTTTCAAAGCGGTGTTGTGAAGACACACTCCCACAGCATGACAACGGAAAATATTTCAGACAGGAGTTTAGTACACCTTGTTGCTATTTTCAGAGGTTAAAACTTTACACAATGAGGCTTACTTTCCATCTCATGGCTGAGATCCCTCTTTGAGAGTGATATAACTTGCTGGAAAAAATCTACTATTTCACAAGGGAATTCAATATTTGTTTATGTGGATCATTATCAGCATTTGATTTTGTTTTGTTTCTAACAGGACTGAATCAGGCACTCAGCAGAAAGGCATAGTTTCTATTAGCTAGTTGGTTTTGATAAGATTTAGGCAATAGTATTGATATAGTTTATCTATTTTTGCACACATGATTTACTAAAATTGTATAGTTTAGATCAATCAATTTCAGCTTTTATAAGTAGGCCAAGAAGTGAGGAGAAAAGAGACTGAACCTGTGAGAGAGAAATCAGAGTGGATCGACATGCTAGTTGCTAGTAGACTGAACCCCTCGAGAGTGAATGAGAGTCCACTGCTCTCGGTGTTTTTGTCTGGTGCCCAGAAAGGCAGGAAACACAGCTTATGATACTTCCAACAGTGGGATAAGACCTGATGCTGTTGGAGCAGTTGAGTTCAATCTAGGATTTTTCCATTCTAACGCTTCCCGTTTCTGTCTGTATAACAGCAAGAAAATCCATCCAACGTTCAAGCCTTTATAATAAACATCATCCTTTCACATGATCTTATGATAGTTGAGAAAGGTAGCATTGCTAATGCTCATAAATATTCAGGCTATAATAAACACTTCTTTTAGCTGGTAAGGAAAGACAGTATGTATCTTTCTACCCAGTCAGGCCAGTAAAGTCCAGCAAGTAGATGTTTTCACTGCCCTCTCAGGTAGCAGAGACAGACAGCAGTCTTCTTTGTGTTATGGATTTATGGCTGGAAACCGCTCCACCTAAATATAGCTGTGCAGAGAGCTGCTTTCACCGAATTCTGAATTTCAATCAGGGACCGTGTAAGGAGAGGTTGCACTTCAAGTTTGAACTTGAATGTTCAACTGTGGCAAAATTAGTTGAATTATTGCAGCAAGAAAAAAAAAACATAAGAGGTTGCTTTTTGAAGTATTTACAGCAACAGAAGAATTGGCCAAGATAAGATCTACTGTCAACCTCCAACAAATCATCCTCTTGAAGAGAAAATGTGATCACGTTTTATCCTTCAGTCGTGAAAGTAAAGCCAGACAAACGAGAGGTGCATTCAGCCCTGGAATCAATCTATCCATATTGTTTGTAGACATGTAGACTTAAACAGGACAAGAACAAAAGGAATGTCTGCTTTGAGTACTCTTGGAAACGTAAGTGTACTGTCCAATAAATTTTGTATCACTTAAGTGATGGAGACAGACAACAACCGGGACACCAGTACAGGCTTCAAACAGTACTCCACCCTAAGATCAGTGCAACTATAAAATGATCCTCACTAAAGCTACAAAAGTTCTGTGGTCCAAATGCACTTCATAAGATTGCCTCAAAGCCTCCTTACCTCGGACATACAGTAACTAAGTAAACTTGTAAGCACTCTTTTATGGGACGTTCCGGTCTCTGCTTCTGGCATATAAAGTTTCACAAGGCTCTTATAAATGTAGAAGGCTTGCCAGGCCACATTGTACAACAAAGCAAAAGAGGGTTGTCATGTTCCAGTGACACTACTCAACAAGACTCAACAAGGTTGCACTATTATTACCATTAGTGGTAGTGTGGTGTAGTGAAACATTCCATTTCATGTGAGCTCTATGTAGCTGTGATGACCCATCAGGTTAACAGAGGTCATTTTAGATGACCACTGACAGCAAAGGTCCTGATGTGATCTTGATGTTCCTGAGCTGAGAACTTCTAAATTGTCTCCTGAGGATCTAACTTAAATAACA